TGAAGTTGATTAAAATAAGCTTAAAAGAATCCAATTTGAACAGTTTTCCCAAAAGTGAGTCCCAAAGTGAGCACACACTATGAATTCGATCGATAATTTCCCATTAAATAATTTTGATAAGATTAGATTTCTAAATAGTCTTTGTAGATATTCTGTCTAGCTATAAAGTTAGGTTGTGCTGTCAAAGAGTTCTGCTTCATCCCGAGAAAGGAGGAATAGCATTGATTTTGCTCATAGTTTACCCCAAAAAACTGGGGGAGGAAAGAAATAGGCAGAGAAAGCTCTCTCTTAGGCTACCAATCAGTTGACAACGTATCTCTTAGGTTCAGATTTGAAAACTGGCCCTGGCTGGGTAGCTCAGTTGTTGAGAGAGCATCATGCCGATATGCCAAAGTTGCAGATTTGATAACCGGTCAGGAATCAACCAATGAATGCATAAATAAGTAAAACGACAAACTGATATTTCTCTCTTTCCCCTTTCCTCTTTCTCTCTCTAAAATGAATAAAAGAAAACAAACAAAAAAAATTAAAAAGATCTGGAAGCCAAAGAATGTATAATTAGGAGTGTACCATGTCATGCAAAGATTATGAAATACTAAAAAAAGATAATTATTCATTTAAAGCATATTCAGCAAATGTCCCCATTATACTGCTATTCTCATCACTGGATAAAGGTTGGATTTGCATTATTCTTAAAATAATCAGTCCATGAGTTAACAATAAAAATTAAAAATGTGCCAACACAAAGCAAATGATAAAGATTAAATATCCAATACACACAGTCATTTGAAACTGCTACAATGGATTTGAGAGGGAAACCATAAGTTTGCAAATCTTTCTATAAACTGTCTTAGAATACTACCCTGAAGCTCTAACCACAAAATCCCAAATAAATATGATACAGATAAAACTGCCTACATCAGCTGACAATAACTTATATCTTTAGTTTTAGTAATACTGTTTATCCCAAGATAAAAGTTGCACAATAATCAAAGAACATACTGGTAAAAATACCAGTAGAGGGCAGCAGAGGGATAGGTTTGCAACAAATAAAAAAACTTGCCCAGCTACTCATGCCGTCTTTTCAAACTTGAGTACATTGTTCTATGGCAGGGAAGGCATGGTGGGTGAGTGTTACCCCTGCATTTTGGAACAGTAGGCCAAAACCATGATTCCTTAATCTGCTCTTCCCTAATTTAACACATAAAATGTTTTCATTGAAACGTGGTCCAGCCGCAGCTGGTTTGGCTCCATGGATAGAGCGTCAGCCTATGGGCTGAAGGGTCCTGGGTTCAATTCACGTCACAGGCATATGGCTGGGTTGCAGGCTCAATCTCCAATAAGGGGGGGGGGGGGGTGCAGGAGGCAGTCGATCAAGGATTCTCTCTCATCACTGATGTTTCTATTTCTCTCTCACTCTCCCCTCCTCTCTGAAATCAATAAAAAAATATATATTTTAAATGTGGTCCAAAGGGCTATGATGGCCCAATGCCATCTTACACATGGTATAAAAACAATAAACACAGCCAAATGAAAGTGAATGGGGAGAAAAGGGCCAACTCAAAAGGTTCCATTAGTAAAGCAACTTCGTAGGCTGATTACATAGGATTAATGTTTTTACACATGAATGTAATTCCTGGGCTGTTTATAATCAAGAGATAAAGTTAAATTCCCGAGGCAGCTTTACGGCGATTCATTGCAATCATGGCTAATTCATGGAGGCCACTAAACAGCATTCCTGTTCCAGAGTGAGTAGTAGTAATCTGTAAGTCAATTCCTGGAATTGTGGATCTGATATGATTTTTTAAATCCTCAACTAAGGTCAGTAGTCATGGAGGCCTTGGCCAGAAGGTAAACTAACCCTTTATTACTACTTGATTTTTTTTTTTCAACTGCAAAAAGAAAAAAAAAAAAAATTTATTTAGAGTTCAAAGGCCAAAGTCAAACTTACTTGATGGAAATAATGAGATAGCTTAATTTTTGCTTTAATTTCAGGCTGCTCTTGTTTTACTTAACAATACCACCAACATGCATTATTATACTTTAAAGTCTAATTCCATTTCCTGTTCATCTCTTGCTGTTGCCTGTGGACTGCTGTAGTGTTCTTTTACAATGTCTGAGCGCACCTTGATTTGAGCAATGAGTGGCTCAACTCTCATCTTAATTGTGCTTGAAATAGTACCTTATAGCCACTGAAGAAGTAACCTTTGAAGGCACCAAGTACTGCTAAATTCTGTTAAACAAATGCAAAAGGAAGGCCTAATAGATTTTCACTCTAGAGAGAGGCCAGTTATGCTTTATAATTTCGATATTTTAGCCAGATTCAAGACCTTAGAAACAATTATGTGCCTTAATTAGATATACAATTTTTAAGAACCATCCCACAATAAAGGCACTAAAATTTTTACATATTTGGGAAGTGATCAATTATTTTGCTTTTAAGACTCAGAGGTGCCAAACCGGTTTGGCTCAGTGGACAGAGTGTTGGCCTGTGGACTGGAAGGTCCCAGGTTCGATTCCGGTCAAGGGCATGTACCTTGGCTGCAGGCACATACCCAGTGGGGGTTGTGCAGGAGGCAGCTGATCAATGTCTCTCTCGTCGATATTTCTAACTCTATCCTTCTCCCTTCTCTCTGTAAAAAAATCAATAAAATATATTTAAAAAAAAAAAAAAAGAAAGACTCAGAGGTGTTTGGCCATCACCAGTGCTCAAAGTAGTAAATGAAAATATCTGAGTCTTCATCTATCAACTAGTTATTCTGTGTAAGAGATTTATTCTTTTTTGTACATCTTTAGCCATTCCTGAAAATAACTTGTTGGGAAAAATCTAGGAGAAGCCTATAAGGAACATGCACTTTGTTTTGAACAGAATATAAGAGGAACTTAAAGCTTTCAAACAGGCTTTCCTTTTACTACACAAGCCAGGAGGCTTGGAAGTGGTCAACATAGCTACCCTGTTTCCCCAAAAATAAGACAGTGTCTTATATTAATTTTTTTCTCCCAAAGTTGCGCTAGGTCTTATTTTCGGGGAAACACGGTAGTAGCAACTTCCAAGCTACTGTAGGCTGCCCTATTTTCTATATTTTGCCTTAGACAATAGAATTAAAAAAAAGGGGGGGGGGAATCTTAAAATAATTTTCCATTTCCTTTGAAATAGTTTTATTCTGCAAAAATTTATCCTGTATCTATAACATATTTAAACCAATTAAGTCGGAATTAACACACAATTTTATTGGATTTTTAATGGTTCTTAAAAGACCTACGTTAGTTTAAATTTTCATTTCCATGGAGGAGTACCAAATAATTCAAGTATGATTATTGTAATACTGGTACAAAATGTGAATGTTGAAAATATTATCAGCATACTAGTAAACCAGCTCCTTTCAAAATAAAAATGCTTCTGAATAATCATTATAATTTAAATATACCATTTAAAATCTCTACTGAAAACATTTGGTCATCTATAAAAAAAAAATGCATTCATGTGAGATTGTGATTAACTTCAATCACAAAGTAAAATTTTAATTGGGAATTAAGTTTTTTGGTGACTTGTTGCCTCCCAACTGCTGTTATTAATTCTTTACTATACCGTAACAGGTATCTTAAAGGAAAGGCAATTGTATAAAAAAAAAAAAAAATCCATCAAAAAGTATTTTCTTGCAGAAACTGGTTTGGCTCAGTGGATAAGAGCGTTGGTCTGCGGACTGAAAGGTCCCAGGTTCGATTCTGGTCAAGGGCATATACATTGGCTGCAGGCACATCCCCAGTAGGGGGTGTGCAGGAGGCGGCTGGTCAATGTTTCTCTTTCATCGACGTTTCTAGCTCTCTATCCCTCTCCCTTCTTCTCTGTGGAAAATCAATAAAATATATTTAAAAAAAAAGAAAGAAAGTATTTTCTTTTATGCACTGCAACTAGAATCACTACATTTAACAACAGTCTAATTCTTCTTGTTCATTTTGGCAGTATGATGTGGACATTCTTCTCCAAGATAAAAACATTAAGATACATGTTATTTTGAAACAAAAGAAACTTAACTTCTTATGGCAAAATGTACTGTTGTTAATTGTAATTTAACTGAGCAGGTAACATTGTGTGTAGTCTCTCTATTCCATTGGACAAAATTACTTTGAAATAGAGGGACAAAAATGGTCATTTTTAACAAGACATTTAAAAAATTCACATTTTCACAATGATGTGACCTATCGATCCAGAGAGTTAATCTTTAGCACAGAATGCCGTAACATTTTACACTGTGCTGCCTGGGGAGGTATTTTCTAGAGAACATGTGTAGGAAGCAGAAGCCCATGCTTCCAGGAATAAACAGGAAGAAGCTGCTGCTCATTGCCCAGGAGATGTGGACTCCAGGACAGCCGGCTCCAGTTTAACAGCCACACCGTGAGACCAGACCTCTTCCCAGTTCCTAACCTCTGTTACCCCTGATAGTTTCTCTTTTTAATATGTTTTTCTCCCAGCTACCCAAGCCCCAGCCAGTGAGTTGCTTTCCCGAGGAGAGGGTTCAGATTTCCATTCTTTCACACTAAGGAGGGCATCTAATAAAAGGTACACAGACAGAGAATAAAGGCATTTTATACAAGCATTATAAAATTTACAACTGAAGCAGTTTCAGACATCAGGTTAACAGCTTATCTGAAACTGCAAACTGATTAGAAGGGTCTTTAAGGTCAGAAAGTCTGGCCTAAGGGTTCGTGCAAACTTTATCATAAAACTGTAGAATTTCAAGCACAGGTAAGCTCAAACACTGAAAGATGTGGAAATTTTTCTTAAAAAGCAATGATGAAGGAAGAGACCCTTCTTACCTCATAAGTTAAAAATCACAAAACAAATTAGAGACTGTTCACATGGGCAGTACTGTACATCATCAATCCCAAACTGATCTAATACTCTTTTATAGAAACCCCAAAACATCACAGAAGATACTCCTAATGAGCCTATCACAAAAAGCATTCCTGTGATCCAATTATTCAGTTGCCTATGGCTATCAATTCAGTCTGGCCTGGGCTTGTTTTTTACAGGGAGGCGGTCTCCCATGGCGTACAATGTGTTTTTCTAAAGTGTCCAGGATGGCCACAGCAATCTGCTGGACGTGGGGGTCAGTCTGTTCATGTTCTTTGATGTTGTATAAATGCTGCAATCCTCCTTCTTCAATCAACATGCTGCAATACCTTGAGGCTGAAAGAAAACAAGAGAAAGAGCTTTTCTTAAAACACTTAAAAAATTATTCCACACACACACACAAAATTATTTTTTCACACTTAAATCTTAGCTCTTTTGTTATTGACTGCTAACATATGCTACAGATTGATAAATACCTTTGTAATGATGTTATGTCTACACTGCCAGTTCCTGCACATAATGTATGTACCATATATTATATATAATATATACATATATATTATATATATATATATATATTTACATTTATATTTTAATCATAACCTTTAGACATAGACAATCTGGAAAAGAAAATTTATTTGACACCAAATCACAAGCAAGTTAGGTGCTTGTTACATTCTTATGCATTTCCTATTTTTAATATATATTTTATTTTATTTTACTTTAAAACTACAGTTTATATTCAATATTATTGTTTTTTAGTTTCAGGTGTACAGCATAATGGTTAGAAAATCATATACTTTACAAAGTGTTTCCCCAATATTTCCAGTACCTATCTGACATCATACATGATTATTACAATATCCTTGACTGTATTTCCTATATGACTATACACTCCTATGACTATTTTTATAATTGTCAAATTGTACTTCTCAATCCCTTTATCTTCTCCCCCAAACCCCCACCCCACCTGCATTTCTGTGGTTTTTAATTTAATGTCACTGATATTGTACATGCAATTTTCTTTATTTCTGCATTTTTATTTAAAAATGTTTTTGTACACATGACTTTGAAAGCCTTATTAGTTTTAGTCATTTATTAAAGTATAATTTACATAGAATAAGACAAAATTAAAGTTAATCTACATTTTGATGAGTTTTGCAAATGTACTAATACACCTGTGGTATAATTCTTGTTTAAGTTTTTTGGTAGACTTTCCATTTCACTGATCTTGAGGAAATACCTGGAATGCTGGACAAATGCTAAATGTATGTTTAACTTTAGAAGAAATTTTCTAAAGTGGTTATATAGTTTTTCCATCCTATCAGCAAAGAATGTAAAAGAGTTGTTTTGCATTCTCGCCAACACTTGTCCTTGTCCATCATTCTGATTACAGGCATCCTTCCTAGTATGTGTGACCTGGTATCTCATTGTGGCTTTAATTTATATTTCTCTAATGACTGATGATGTTAGTCCTGATTTTTATTTTATTTTTTAAAAAAATATATTTTATTGATTTTGTACAGAGAGGAAGGGAGAGAGATACAGAGTTAGAAACATCAATGAGAGAGAGTCATCGCTCAGCTGCCTCTTGCACACCCCCTACTGGGGATATGCCCGCAACCAAGGTACATGCCCTTGACCAGAATCAAACCCGGGTCCCTTCAGTCCCCAAGCCGACGCTCTATCCATTGAGCCAAACCGGTCCCGGCTGGTCCTGATTTTTAATTTAAAAAACAGTGCTTCTATGTGTTTCTTGTGCAACATTTAAAATAATTTATGGAATAAACTTATATAATAAACTAGAGGCCCGGTGCACGAAATTCGTGCATGGGGTGTGTGTCCCTCAGCCCAGCCTGCACCTTCTCCAATCTGGGACCCCCTCAAGGTATGTCTTACTGCCTGTTTAGGCCTAATCCCTAAACGGGCAGTCAGAGATCCCTCTCACAATCCAGGACTGCTGCTCCCATCTGCTCACCTGTTTGTCTTCTGATTGCTTGTAACTGCTTCTGCCTGCCAGCCTGATCACCTGTAACCACTCCCCTGCCAGCCTGATTGATGCCTAACTGCTCCCCTGTCAGCATGTTTTCCCCTAACTGCCCTCTCCTGCAGACTTGGTTGCCCCCAACTGCTCTCCTCTGCAGGCCTGGTTGCCCTCAACTTCTCTCCTCTGCTGGCCTGGTCACCCCTAACTCCCTCTCCTGAAGGCTTGATCACCCCCAACTGCCCTCCCTTACAGGCCTGGTTCCTCCCAACTGCCCTCCCCTGCTGGCCATTTTGTGGTAGCCATCTTGTGTCCACATGGGGGCAGTCATCTTGTGTGTTGGAGTGATGGTCAATTTGTATATTACTCTTTTATTAGATAGGATAACTAAGAATTGGTTCATAATCTTTAAAAAAAAAAAGATATAAAACCTGATGTAGGCCTTGGCTGGTGCAACTCGGTTGAATACCATCCTATGCACTGAAAGATCACCTATTTGATCCTGGTTAGGGCGTATGTACAGGTTTTGGGCTTGATTCCCCATTCGGGTGCATGCAGGAGGCAGCACAGTGATGTCTCTCTTCTTTCTCTCTCTCTAAAAACTTAAAACAAACAAACCCCTGATCTAAATGCTTTGCTTCTCCACAGACTATGGGTGCAGAGAGCAACATCTTGAATGGGAAAATTTTGTGTAGATAAGGACTGCATACTGGAATGTACCATAAATATTGGATCTCCTTAAGACATTTTGCTCAAAAAATGAACCCACTGTAGGCTCCTAATTTTTATTTTTAAAAATTTAAAAAAATATCTGGGTTATTGAATAAAACTTCGGTTCTCTTGACCTATTTATTTATTTATTTATTAAATATATTTTATTGATTTTGTACAGAGAGGAAGGGAGAGAGATACAGAGTTAGAAACATCAATGAGAAAGAGTCATCGATCAGCTGCCTCTTGCACCCCCCCCACTGGGGATATGCCCACAACCAAGGTACATGCCCTTGACTAGAATCGAACCCGGGACCTTTCAGTCCCCAAGCCGATGATCTATCCATTGAGCCAAACCAGTTTCGGCCTTTTATTTATTTTTAAATGTATTTTTTATTGATTTGAGAAAGAGGGAGGGAAGAAGGGAGAAAGAGAAAAAGAAAGAGAGAAACATCTTTGATGAGAATCATTGATCTACTGCCTCCTGCATGCCTCCTACAGGGGATCAAGCCTGCAACCCAGGCATATGCCCTTGACCAGAATCAAACCAGAATCAAAACTTCATTCCCCAGGCAGACACTCTTAACTGCTGAGCCAAACTGGCTAGAGTGGCTCCTAATTTTTATATTCTATGTTAGAACAATGTAAGTCTCATTCACCATTATCATTCAGTATCTACTATTGGCAAGCTCATTCTGAAAAAAATAAATGTACTTTATAAACTAAAATTCTTTTAAACACTTATGTAGTATTTAAAGGTTTGTCCTTAAAAATCACTTAAATACACAATTCAGAAATGGCTTTTCTAAGTAAGGAGAATTCTCCTTGAGGAAGAAAAACAAGTTTCTGTTTGGTACATACGATTCTTGCTGCAGACATGTTGCATGGCCCAAACTGCCCATAGCTGGACTCCTGGTGTTGTGAAACAGCCAAGTAATGGGAAAAATGGATTAAAAGACCTAAGAGTACAAAAGAAAAGAAAAGTTACGTCCTCTACTTATTTTTTTTTAAATTCCTCACCTGAGGATAAGTTTATTTATTAGAGAGAAAGGGAGAGAGATAGAGAAACATGGATGTAAGAGAGAAACATCAATCAGTTGCCTCCTGTTCACAACTCGACTGGGGGATGAACCTGCAACCAAGGCATATGCCCTGACCAGAAATCAAACCCTCAACATTTTTGGTGAACGGGACGGTGCTCCCATCAACCGAGCCACCCAGCCAGGACGTAGTGTCATTTCCTAAAGCAATGATTCCTGAGCTTTTCATTCTATAAGTTTTATCCAACTATTTTTAAACTAATATAAATAAGCTATCAGTATATCTTTTCTTTGTCTTAGACATTGAAAAAAGGACCATGTTCTGAGAAGTCTTGGTAGAAAAGATGGAAGGTGACTAGAACAAGGTGCTAACACAGAAATTTTTTTTTTTTTTCAAAAGTACTTTTTTTGTTCTTGAAGATACACATTTAAAGAACAGACCTTGGCTGGAAAACCTAGAAAAGAAAAAGTTAGTTGATAACTAACTGGAAGAACACCATGAAGGAGGTCTAGAATTAGCCTTTCTATTTCTACTGGTCTTCTGCCCAAAAGTGGATAAAATATAAGTTGGGGGAATCATAAATGTTGGCAGCATCAGCATTTATGAAGTAGACAACAATAATAAGTGGTAATAATATTATGCAGCCAACTGGAATATTTCAAGTAACAAATTAGTTATCAAGTCAACTAATTGTCATAAGCAGAGTTAGGCATCTAGTATGCATCTTAATAAATTATTATAAATTGTTTCCCTAAACTAATCTGGTGCTACTTCTAGTTCTCGCGATCTTGTTTTGGAACTCCTTATATGAATATACTGTTTCCTGTTCCTAAAATCTTATGCCCTTACCTGATTATCTCTCAAAATTCAGCTCATAATCTACTATTGTCTTTAACTGTATAGCCTTCTATGCACACTCAAATAACAGTAAATTATATCTGATTCACATTTGGTCTCCCTAACTAGGTTCTTGTGTGCAAGCCCCATCTCTTACTCCTCTTTGAATTTCAAGAGCAAAAAAACAAGTCCCTGGCATTTGTCTTCAATAAAAGTGGAATAAAGGAAGGAATGATGAATGAGAGGTGGCAGAAAGTAAAAATACTTTGCTTCTTTTAAAACCAGTGGGGATGGGGGATAGAAGGGGTTATTACCTAGTAGGAATTACACATTTACTAGTAGTAGGACCTCTAGGCAAGCAAAATGACTAGGTTACTGTCTTAATATTAATTATCTTGCTAATTACCTGTATGCTACCATCTCACACTCTGGAGTTGGCCATTTCAAAATAGCTGAATGCTGTAAGACACAAGATACACAAAAAAGGATTACAATAATTATTTAGCACTGCATTATTGCATTATGAAGTTTTGATAGTTTAACCACTATGAATATTGTGTGGATGCTTCCAGAAAACATCAAATGATCCTACCAGATCATCCAGAAGAGAATTCCTCTGGCTACGGCTCAGTGTCCAAGCTTGTTCACCTCTAGATATTAAATGGGCAATAATTCCTGCTGCAAAGTAACTGACTTCCACTTCCACACTATGTAGGAGACTACTGATGTGGTCTATAAAATCCTTCCACATTAATTCAGAATGCAATTCTTGTACTTCAGCTATATTGTTCTGGAAAAAAAATTAAAAGCAACATATAGTAAATGCCTATGACCTTTTGTACTTTAAGAAACAACAGAGATTGAAATGATTTTAACATGTGCCTGTATATGGACATAGCTGAAGTCTGTTGCCATATTAGCACAGTGGGATTATGGGTGATTTTTTTTCTCTCCTCTCCAAACAACGTAATAAACAGTAGTGAGTCCCTTTTCAGGTAAAATTGCTAAATAGATAACCTAAAAATGTCCTGGTATAAAATATCTAGAAGTGCTGGGTAAATAATAATTAGCAATCCTTAGCCGAAACCAGTTTGGCTCAGTGGATAGAGCGTCAGCCTGTGGACTGAAAGGTCCCAGGTTCGATTCCGGTCAAGGGCATGTACCTTGGTTGCGGGCACATCCCCAGTAGGGGCTGTGCAAGAGGCAGCTGGTCAATGTTTCTCTCTCATCAATGTTTCTAGCTCTCTATCACTCTCCTTTCCTCTCTGTAAAAAATCAATAAAATATATTTTAAAAAAAATAGTTAGCAACCCTTAAATATGTAGCAAACAGAACCAAACTAGAGCAGTAACAGGTCATCACTAACCTGCAGAGGCAGAGAACTGGTTTTAATAGCCATGCAAGGCCAGACGGTAAGGGGTAAAAATTGGAACTAAGACTTCATATACAAAAGAAAGACTTTAAAAGTGTTACACCTCAATAAAAGAGTGGATTTAACATAGGTACATGAAAAAGAAACCCATTGTAATCTACTCTCTGACCTAAAAGGAAAAGTCTTCCCTTATAATTTATAACCACGGGCCTATCCTCATACATGGCTGTGGTTAAAACCCAAGTTAGGAAACAAGAGCAAGAGAGTAGGAAGAAAACCAGAAAAGTTTGGTATCTAGAAAGCAGAGAGGGGGAGAGTCCAAGATGGCTGCCCAGGTAGACACCTAGCCGCAGCCGCACACAACAATTTCAATAAAATACAACTAAAATATAAAACGTACATTACCCAGAACTACAGGAAAGTCGACTGACTGGAAATTCTACAACAAGAAGCAAGGAGAAGGCCAGAAAGAAGCGTGGAGGAGCTGGAAAAGCCTAAGGTATGGAGACACGCGGCGCGCGGAGAGGACGGAGCCGGAGAGGAGGGCGGCAGAGTGCCTGGCGGGCGTTCCCTAGCAGGAAGGAGATAAAAGCTCCGACTGTGCTTGGCCCCAGTTCCGACTGCTCTGAACCCCAGTTCCAGGCCAGACCCCAGGGACCCAGGCTCACACAGAGGGAGCTGGGCTGAAAGGCGGAACCCCGGGGGAGCAGCGAAAGGAGGTCCCGGCGGCGCGCACATTGCGCAGAGAAGGGATGGTCGGCTGTGCCTCCGGATTGCCTGGCGGGAAGGAGACAGGGGCTCCAGACTGCTCTGAACGCCACCTCCAACTCCACTTCCAACTGAACTGAACCCCAGTTCCGGGCTCATTGGGGGAGAGCATAGACTGGTAGCAGGCGAAAATTGAGGGCGCCTTTCTCTCAGAGGCGCTTACAACTGAAGGACCCTGGGGATTACTGAGACCCAGGAACCGAATAGGGCGGGGCTGACAGGAGCCAAGGCTGTAGGCTCCACCCTGAAACTCCGCCCCATCTGTAGCTGTAAAATGCTACAACGAAATAGATCACAAACGAAAGAAATGGAGGACAAAAAGCGACTGGATATAGAGTTCAAATCTACGCTTATAATGTTTTTCAAGAATTTCCTAGAAAAGATCGATAAGACCTATGAGAATATGAAAAGAGGTCAACTAGAATTAATAAGGAATCAACAAGAAATGATAAGGGATAACAAGAAATGATAAGGGATCAACAAGAAATGATAAGGGATTAACAAGAAATAAAGAATACATTGTCTGAAATAAAAAATATTATACAGAGTCCTAAAAACAGAATGGAAGATCGCAAGAATCAAGTCAAAGATTTGGAACATAAAGAGCCAGAAGACATTCCTCCACAGAAGCTAGAAGGCAAGAGAATCCAGAAAATTGAAAATAATGTAAGAAACCTCTGGAACAACTTCCAGCGAACCAACATCAGAATTATGGGGGTCCCAGAAGATGAGAGAGAGCAAGATATCGAAAACATACTGAAAGTATTAGTGACAGAAAACTTCCCCCACCTGGGGAAAGAATTAGACTTACAAGTCCGGGAAGCGCACAGAACTTCAAACAAAAGGAATCCAAAGAGGACCACACCAAGACAAATCATAATTAAAATTCCAAGAGCAAAAGACAAAGAGAGAATATTAAAAGTAGCAAGAGCAAAGAAGGTAGTTACCTATAAAGGAGCACCTATACGATTGTCAGCTGATTTCTCAACAGAAACTAGCCAGACGGGAATGGCAAGAAATATTCAAGGTGATGAATAGTAAGAACCTACAGCCAAAGATAATCTATCCAGCAAAGCTATCACTCAGAATCGAAGGTCAGATAAAGAGCTTCACTAATAAAAAAAAGCTAAAGGAGTTCATCACCACCAAACCAGAATTATATGAATTGCTGAAGGGGGTTCTTTCAGAAGAGAAAGTAAATAAAGATAAAAATTATGAACAACAAATACGTAACTATCAACAAGTGAATCTAAAAACCAAGGAAATTAAAAAAAAATCTGATGAACAACATTAACTGTTGAATATAATAGAATCAGAGGTATGGAAGGGGAGTGAACTGACGATTCTTGGGGAAAAGGGGAGAAGGGGATGTGGGAAGAGACTGAACATAAACTGTGCACCTATGGATGAGGACAATGGGAGGTGGGGAAAGGGCAGAGGGTGGGGTGGGAACCTGGTGGAGGAGAGCAATGGCGGGGGTGGGGGGGAAGGAACATATGTAATAATATGAATAAAAATTTATTAAAAAAAAGCAGAGAGGGGTGAGTATATCAGAAGGATAAAGGAACTAGTAGTTCTAAATACTGTGGAGAACCTAAATAAGATTAAGACAAAAAGCATCCATTTGTTTAAGCAATATAGCAATCTTGTGCCTTAAAAATTTCATAGCCTTCGACCCCCACTGATAGCACCGAAGTTTGCCTGCTGGACTACAGAAGGCACGTGTTTTTTCTGGACTTGTATGTAATGGCTTCCCTTGGCAGCACATAAGGAGGACCTGTGGTCACACAAGAAACAATTGAGGGGTTTCCAATTTATCACACTACTCTGAAGATTAATCCTCATTCTTTTTTTTTAAGGGTAACTCTTAATTTTTAAAATTTACTCATTTTTAGAGAGGAAGGGAGAGAAAGGGAGCAAAAGAGACATAGATTTGTTGTTCTACTTATTTATGCATTCATTGGTTGATTTTGACCCAGAAAAGAACTTGCAACCTTGGCACATTGGAAAAATGTTCTAACCAGTTAAATTATTTAACATTTCCTTTTTGCCGAAACCGGTTTGGCTCAGTGATAGAGCGTCGGTCTGCGGACTGAAAGGTCCCGGGTTCGATTCCGGTCAAGGGCATGTACCTTGGTTGCGGGATTAGGGGGTGTGCGAGAGGCAGCTGGTCGATGTTTCTCTCTCATCGAAGCTTCTAGCTCTGTATCCCTCTCCCTTCCTCTCTGTAAAATATCAATAAAATATATTTAAAAAACAACAATAACAACAAAAAAACATTTCCTTTTTACTGGGCAGTTAGATTATTTTACATTTTCTACTTTATATATAACTAAAGCTATAGAGAATAGATAGGTCCTTCTTAAATGCCAGCCTCCAGCTGTCCCCCAAATCGATCTCTTATTGCTCGGTATTTCAAAGTCTTGCATCTGGAAAACAAACAGAAATCTACATATTTTAACTCACTAATCTATGTCTCCTATGATCTAATTTCTTAAGAAAAGAGGTCTGCTCTAAAATGTTTTTTTTACCACATGGGCACTTTGCCTGTTGCAGATATTAAAGCATTTGATCCTTTATCTTTGATCCATAAAACACTTGATCTTTCATTTTTGTCTCAAATTCCTAGAGGGCTCACTTTCACCAAATCCAATATATTTACTGAATATATGATTTGTTAAGCAGTCTTTTAGGTAGTAATTATTAATTACCAAACACAGCCTCTAAAAATACTTTAGGTTAGTGACCATTTTTTTTTTTTTGTATGTGGCATTTTTAAATGAGATTTCCCCCCCTTCTGATTATGAAAGTAAATCATGCTCATGAAGTTTGTACTATAAAAAAAATATAAAGTATGTAATTCGTATTTTTCCTTTGAATGTGGTAAAAACCTTAATATGTACATATAGTTTGTACACTGCTTTTTTACTTAGTTAAAATACACGTTTTCTAATGTCATTAAGTATTTATAAATACAACAGCAACTTCAATGTATTACCTCAGACAGAAAATAATTATAGCTTTGAATTAAGCAGGAAATGCTTATATCTTACCAAAAGTCCTAGAACTTTCTGTTGAATGGATGACTCAGTTGGAAAAGACTGTAAAAAGAAAGAGAAACCTATAACTACGTAAAGAATAAAATATAATAAATGCTTAATTCAATCAATAAATGTCAAAACTGTAGGCTAAATTCCCATTCTAACCTCTAGAACCCTCATGAAGAGTTCTAACCCTTGGTTTTCAATAAAGTGTCTGCAAGTGGTTGGAGATTCATCTGTGAGGTTCCAAAGTGCACTCAAAGTAAATTTCAAAGTGGTATCCACCGAATTTTGATTGGTTTTCTGCTTCACTATTTGAAGAAGTTGCTAAAAGAAGAAAAATAGAATTAATTATCATTATTTGTTATTATAATTATTAGTGGCAATAATTAAAAGTCCATAGATTTAGTCTCATGGCTTAAGACACTTCCATAGGTTTTTATAAGTATAACAAACAGCCTCCTAGATCACACTATTCCTCCAACAAGAAAAAAGTATAAGAACTTCACAGATACTTCTATGTTATTCTGTTTGTACCTAGAATCTAATCACCTCTAAATAAAATGAAAAGCAGCTGAAACCGGTTTGGCTCAGTGGATAGAGAGTTGGCCTGCGAACTGAAAGGTCCCGGGTTCAATTCTGGTCAAGGGCATGTACCTTGGTTGCAGGCACATCTCCAGTGGGGGGTGTGCAAGAGGCAGCTGGTCAATGTTTCTCTCTCATTGACATTTCTAACTCTCTATTCCTCTCAGTTCCTCTCTGTGTAAAATCAGTAAAATATATTTAAAAAAAAAAAAAAAAAAAAAGCAAAATGATTAAAGCTTGGGACCACTATCTTATCCAATCGATGACAACATATACTCATTTCAGATCCCGGTATATAAAAGGTGAAGGGGAAAATGAAGCAAACATTTATTTAGCATCGGCAAATTATATCTTAAATTGTAGCAGTTCTATCACCATTTTTCAGGAGAGGAAATTCAGTCTGAGAGGTATTAAATTTGATCATAGTCAGCTTAGCATGAGAAAGTAAGAAATGGAAGAACTAATTCTATCTTCAAGTTTTCCTTAAGAAAAAAAGAAAGGCCGAGACTGGTTTGGCTCAGTGGATAGAGCGTCGGTCTGCGGACTGAAAGGTCCCAGGTTCGATTCCGGTCAAGGGCATGTACCTTGGTTGTGGGCACATACCCAGTGAGGGGTGTGCAGGAGGCAGCTGGTCGATGTTTCTCTCTCATCGATGTTTCTAGCTCTCTATTTTTCTCCCTTCCTTTCTGTGGAAAATCAATAAAATATATTTTAAAAAGAAAAAGAAAAAAGAAAGGACAAACTAAATAGTAAGAGAATTAAAGTCTATACTGGATTTCCTGGGAGGAGGGGGGACAAAGGAGAGGGAGGGAAAAGGGCCATCTGTAATATTTTCAACAATAAAGATACATTTTAAAAAATAAAACAAGGGTGCAGGAAAAAAAAATTAAGTCTATATTGGATTTAAATAAGATAATATTTTTGAAATTCCACTTGTATATTATCTGTCATAGCTTTAACCTCCAAAATTTAAAGTTTGCAAGTTAAATGTTTTAAGACCTCCATAAAGCATCCATAATTCCATTTTTAGATTACACTTTTGGGAATAAGAGACAGCTTTGCTAAAACAGATACAAGAAAACATTAATAGCTGAAACTAGTTTGGCTCAGTGGATAGAGCCATCGGCCTGCAAACTGAAAGGTCCTAGGTTCAATTCCAGTCAAGGGCATGTACCTTGGTTGTGGGCACATCCCAGGTAGGGGCTGTGCAGGAGGTGACTGATTGATGTTTCTCTCATTGATATTTCTAACTCTCTATCCCTCTCCCATCTTCTCTGTAAAAAATCAATTTAAAAAAATACATCTTTTTTTAAAATAAATCTTTATTGTTCATATTATTACAAATGTTCTTCCTTTTTCCTCCCCTCCATTGCTCCCCTCCTCCAGGTTCCCACCCCACCCTCTGCCCTTTCCCCATCCCCCATTGTCCTCATCCATAAAAAAATACATCTTAAAAGAAAAAAAAAAGAAATATAATTCAGTGTGAATTTCTAACATTTTAAGTGGTAGGTGATGAGTATTATATAATTAATTACCTATCAAATGAATGATTTACATTGTCATTACATACATAATTTATGTCATAGAAAAAGGAGTCTTTCACTTGACTTTTCCATCTACTATGGTTATTCAAACACTTCATGCCAGGACATTTTTCCCTCCAGTTCTCCCTAAGGCACTATTCATATTTACTCTCTTTAAAGGTTTTTATTTTTTAAATATATTTTATTGATTTTGTACAGAGAGGAAGGGAGAGAGATAGAGAGCTAGAAACATCGATGAGAGAGAGTCATCGATCAGCTGCCTCTTGCACACCCCCTACTGGGATGTGCCCGCAACCAAGGTACATGCCCTTGACAGGAATCGAACCCGGGACCCTTCAGTTCCCAAGCCGATGCTCTATCCATTGAGCCAAACCGGTCCCGGCTCTTTAAAGGTTTTTAACTTTTCACTGTTCATTATATTATTTCCTCAACTGTGTAAGCAAGCAAAATAATGTATGAACTATTTAAATTATATTCTTTCCCAAATCATCTAGCACAATCTTAAAAATTTTTTAAATATATTTTATCAATTTCAGAGAGGAAGGAAGAGGGAGAGAGAGATAGAAGCATTAATGATGAGAGAGAATTATTGATCAGCTGCCTTCTGAATAGCCCCTACTGGTGATCAAGCCAGAAACCCAGGCATGTGACCTTGACTGGAATCCAACCTTGGACCCTTCAGTTCATAGGCCGACACTCTATCCACTGAGCCAAACCAGCTAGGGCTAGCACAATCTTACACTTAAGATTGTGTGTATAATCATCTTTACATTTTTTTCATAAATTCAACAAAAATCACAAAATTTTAGAACTCAATAAGACCTTAAGGCTTATGTACACACTAATAGTTCAGGCAATTTGTCTAAATTCACAAAATGAGCCTGCAAATTAGATTAGGTATAGGTCATCTGACTCTTAGTTCAGGGCTCTATCAATCTCTGTTAAGGAGTAAAGCTGCCTTTATAAAAAGAAATGAATACACTCATTTAGAAGAAAGAAAAATAATTTTTAAAGTATAAAATATCAGAAAATACACAACATTGCCTGAAAACAACGAAAATGAAAACTGCCTAGTGGTCTGCAGAAGGGAGATAACACTTACCCTCACAATGAAGAGCTCAGCACCAAGCTGTGCAGTTTGTTCTGTGGAAAGCTGCAAGCAAGCGACAAAATAAATGTCCAAGAACCTACTGGTGTGAATGTAACATCAGTCACTATAACAGACTAAGGTCAGAGTAAAATCTTTGATCAACCTGGAATTCTGTAATATAGAATTGCAAGTGTGAATAAGCAGGCTTGCAGAGAGGCTCACTAACCTTTGTGGCTTTCAGATTTTGGGAAAATAATAACTATAAGGGAAACACGAGCTCAGGTACCTTGGCAGCCAGAATGGAAATGATAGCAACTGCCATCCTTTGCATGTTTTGATCCTCATGGTTGCAGAGCCACTGCATGACAAGCTTAGCTGCTTCAAACCTGAAAACACACAAATGGGTTCATGAACTAATTCTGGAGGGGCAGGCACTATTTCAGAGTCCCAGTTGGAAACTGATAATTCCTCTTAATTAACAGAGAATAATAATTATACTTAGTGTTCTGGAAACAATACCTCAATATTAATTCTGACAACACTTTTGTAATGAAATAAGTCAAAACTATTGGGCATTCATCTTCTAAAATTATAACACATTTCTATTCTGTAGTGATTCCTATAATGTAGTAACATATATTTTCTGAGTTCATCACAGTAGCTAGCACAACAGTAAATTCATTCACTTACAAACATTTATTGAGCTCCTGCTTTATGCCAAACATTGTTCTTGGTATCAGAGACAGAATACTGAATAAAATAAAAATATTGCTACTCTCACAGGGTTTACATTTTAGTAGAGGAAACAAATCATAAATCAGATAATAAATATATGGTACGACTAGGTACTGACATGCTATATAGAGAAAAAAGCAGTGAAAGAGAAAACATGAAATGTTGAAATTTTACATAGGATGCCTAGGGGATGTCTCACGGAAACTTTTGAGGAAGTAAGGGCTAGCCATGTAATAATCTGAACAATAAAGATTAAAAACAAACATATAGGCCCTACGTGATTTGGCTCAGTGGATAGAGCATCAGCCTGCAGACTGAAGAGTCCCAGTTTTGATTCTTGTCAAGGGCATGCGCCTCTGTTGCAGTTCAATCCCTGGCCCTCGTTGAGGTTTGTGTGGAAGGCAACCAATCAATGTGTCTCTCCCACATCAATGTTTCTCTCTCTGTGTCTCTCCCCCTCCTTTCCACTCTCTATAAAAAAATAAAATAAACAATAAATGGAAAAATATCCTTGGATGAGGATTAACAAAAACATCATAAACTGGAGTCAGCCTGGACTCAAATATCACCTTCTACCACTTATTAACTTTGGGACCCTGAGTAAGTTCCTTAATCTTTCTGAACTTCAATATTCTCATCTATTTATAATCATAAAATCATAATATGCTAATTAGACTAGATGTCCTTCCAGACAAATCTAGGGCTGACAGGGAAGCCCAGGTCCCGGGTGCCAGAGGGAAGCTGGTGCCGGCAGCTGGGGGAGGAAGGCCTACTCTTGCACAAATTTCGTGCATCGGGCCTCTAGTAAAATAATGAGATCTATTCTATTAGGACCATCATGAGGACTAAATGATATCACATATCAAGCTTAAGACTTAGTACAGAATTTGACACACATCAAACTTTTGATAAAGATTATTTTTTACTACTATTATTATTGACTTCCTCATGCCTTTATTTGTACAGTTCCCAAAACATAAAACAATCTACTCAACTAGCTTCATCTTTAAAGCATATAGCATGGCGTAAAAAGTACAGGCTCTCAGTCAGTCCCGATTTAAATCTAAATTCTGCTACTTACTATCTTATCACCTTGAGCAAGTTACTAAACCTCTGTGTGCCTCTGTTTCCTCATCTGTAAAATGAAGATTACAAGAGTAATCATTTCACAGAACTGATGTAAGGACTGAATAAGCATATGTAAAACACAGCACAATGCCTGGTGATTCCAGTGCTTCATACATGTTAGTTATCTTTATTATCTCAAATGCCATCACTAACATGCAATCTTTAATGATCACTAATCAGAAGGATTCTTTCTCTCCTTGTTTGGGGGCCCAATTCACTCTGTCATTTCTTCTATGAAAAATTCTGTTTTCTATTATTCTGTTTTCATTCATTCATCCTTCCATCCATTAACCATCCACTTAAGCACTAGAGACAAAGAGATAAATCAATCACAGTCTCTAACCACAAGCAAGTTCAACTCTAGTAAAGTGCACTGCTATAAAATTAAATTAGTAATCTACTATATATATATTCCAAACTACTTATTTTAAATAGTAAATGGAACACCTTATTCCTCAGCCATGCCAGATAACAGTGTACTGTTAACAAAATAAAAGTAAATCACATTAAAATTGCTGCTTGAGAAATATACATTTCAGTATAAATTTATTTTTTAAAATATCATTATTAAAAATTATAAAATAGAAAAAAGAAAAAAAAAATCTCTTTTAGCTCCCAAATTATAGCATCTTAGAAAACAAAAGAATCCTTTTTACTTACTGGAATTTAGTCTTCCTTAAACCTCTGTTTAAAAGTTTCCTCTTAAAAAATTTATTCTATAACTCAATATCAAATAAGTGATAATAAGAGGTATGATACAGAGAAAAGAACACCGGACCAGAACTAGAAGACTCCTAGTCTGATAATTACTAGTCACAAAACCATGGGCAAGACACTGAATTTCTATATCCCTCAGTTTCTTTAGCCCACATTATTCATTATTGTGTGGATATTTTTAAAACTATAATCAATATAAATTCTTAAGCAAGGGACTATGAAAACAGGGCTCAACTGTTATCACGAATATCAAGACACTGAACTAGAGAAAGTAGATTTAGCATTCTATAAGACATCATATGATCCCTTGATTAACTGCACACCAGGGATATAACTGGTACGAAATTAGCTAAGGCTTGGCTGGTGTATCTCAGTGGTTGAGCATCGACCTATGAACTAGAAGGTCATGGTTTGATTCCTGGTCAAGGCATACATATACTTCGGCGGCAGGCTCGATCTCCAGTGTGGGGCGTGCAGCAGGCAGCCGATCAATGATTCTCTCATCATTTATGTTTCTATCTCTCTCCCTCTCCCTTCCACTCTGAAATCAATAAAAATATATTTAAAAAAAGAAAAAGAAAAAAGAAATCATTCAAGACAGATTTCTAAAATTCTTAGAAATTTGTCCCATTTTAAGTTTTAGGACTGTCACTTGCCTGTTAAATGGAACATCTTGAAGGATCCGGTCACTGCAAAGTGAAAGGAGGCAATTCTTCTGCAACTAAAGAACCAGAGGGAGAAAAAAATCCTAAATAAAATAATGCTTTGTTATTTGTTATTTTTTAAACAGGAGTAGCCTCTATATTAAAAACAAAAACAAACAAACAAAAACAGAGGAAGACGGATGAAACCCCACTTATGTTTTACAACCTTCATTTTGGCCATCTACTGTTGAAATAATGACTTCCACTGGACACATATAAGTTTACCAGAACATTTTTTTCTTTTCCTTTAGATGATAAATAGGATAAGAAGTAGGATAATTGCAGCTAATTTCCCTCTGTTTGACAGACTTTGGATGGGTCCTGTTTTGGCTTCCAGAGGCCATGAAAAACAAAGACCAAAGTTTATGTAGTTTGAGGGAAGCTCTCTTTAATTAAGCTATATTAAATATAATCCACTCACCAATGTGGGTTACCATTTTTATTTGGTTTTAGACATATTTTTTATTAACTTGCCAACTCACTGCTAACTTTTTAGAGTTAAAAATATAATTTAAGCTCTGACCAGTTTGACTCAGTGGACAGAGCATTGGCCTGAGGACTGAAAGATCCCAGGTTCGATTCCAGTCAAGGGCATGCACCTTGGTTGCGGGCACATCCCCAGTAGGAGGTGTGCAGGAGGCAGCTGATTGATGTCTCTCTCTCATCGATGTTTCTAACTTTCTATCCCTCTTCCCTTCCTCTCTGTAAAAAATCAATAAAATTTATTTTAAAAATCCCATATATATATAATTTAAGCCCTGGCTGGGTGGTTCAGTTGATTAGAGCATCATCCCATACACTAAAAGGTTGTGGGATCAGAAGTGCCCAGCTAGCTCAGTTGGTAGAGCATGAGACTCTTCAGTCCAAAGGCCAACGCTCTACCCACTGAGCTAAACTTGCTAGGGCGAGCATGAGACTCTTAAAAGGTTGTGGGATTAATTCCTGATCAGGGCGAGTATAGGAGGCAACCAATTGATCAGTGATTCTCTCACATCAATGTTTCTCCCTAATCTCTTTCTAAAACCAATAAAAACAGCCCAGCTGGTGTGGCTTAGTGGCTGAACCAGGAGGTCATTGTTTGATACTTGGTTAGAGCACATAACAGAGTTGCAGGCTTGATCCCTAACAGGAGGCAGCCAATCAATGATTCCCTCTCATCATTGATGTTTCTTTTTATCAAACAAACAAACATACATATATATTTTTATTGATTTCAGAGAGGAAGGGAGAGGGAGAGAAAGATTGAAACATCACTGATTGGCTGCCTCCTACACACCCACTACAAGGGATTGAGCCCATAACCCAGGCATGTGCCCTTGACCTAAATCTAACCCAAGACCCTTCACTCCACAGGCCAATGCTCTATCCACCTAGCCAAACCAGCAAGGGTTCATCATTGATGTTCCTCTCTCTTTCTTTCTGAAATCAATAAAAAATAATTATATATAAATAAAGAAAAAACAAAATCATAAAACATAGCCTCAGGTGAGGATTAAAAAAAATGTGTGTGTGTGTGTGTGTGTATAAGCAATATTTTGAGTTTTCATCTGGCTACCTTATATAGTCTGCCATATTGCTATACATAGAAAATATTTGTCTTATTCATTTCTGTATCCCAGTACTTGATAATATATGGCACAGAACAGATAGATGCTCTATGCCTAGACTCAAGATCTAGGTTGAAAATGAGTTTTATATGGCTTGCACTATTCCCCTAAACATTTGGATTTAAATACTATTTAGGCAGGTAATGCACACTTTAGTTTTCTACTTCTCTGTCGTCCTACACTCAGTCATACCACAAAATTATTACTGTACTAATATAAAGGCATTTGTATTTTCACCTTTGGTCTATTAAATTGAACTATATGGAGGTAGGAGTTGGGAAGGAGACACTAAAAGGACTATTTGAATGCAGATTCCCATATGCTTACCTGCTGGTGATTAGGAAAATGTTCCATAGCTTTCAGCAGCAAGTGGGTCACATCAGCCAGGAGTCGGACAGGCATTCCTACAGCAAGATCCTGCTTGGTTAGATTAAATACACAGGCGCTTGCAGCAAGTTGCACTGGTAAATTCATAGGGTGGTTTCTCATCCCAGTGACCACAAGCTGGAAAAAAAATAGTTCTCTTAATCCACCTTATAAATCCAGGCCCTCTTCACATAACACCCTTATTGTGTTAATATCTAGTAATTTCTACAATATCTTAAGGATCTTTTTAAATTCTCATGTGTGAAGAGCCTAGGACATAGCAGTTACTCACTAATACTTAGTTCCTGTGAACCATGTTCACGTCCAGAAATTTTTCTGTAAGACTGATGAATCTGAAAGAGGCGAAATAACAACAGACCCCACAGAATTACAAAGGATTGTTAAAAAATGCTATGAACAACTCTACTCCAACAAACTGGACAACCTGGAGGAAATGGACATATTCCTAGAAAAATACAATCTTCCAAAACTCAATCAGGAAGATTTTTAAAATCTCAATAGGTTGATAACTATGGAAGAAATTGAAGCAATCATCAAAAAACTCCCAGCAAGCAAAAGCCCAGGGCCAGACAGCTTCACATAGGAGTTTTATCAAACATTCAAGGAAGAACTAAAACCTATCCTCCCAGATTATTCAAAAAAATTTAAGAGGAAGGAATACTTCCAAACTCCTTCGATGAAGCCAGCATTACCCTAATACCAAAACCAGATAAAGACAACACAATGAAAGATAATTATAGGCCAACATTCCTCATAAACTAAGATGCCAAAATCGGATTCAGCAGAACATCAGAAAGATCATACACCATGACCAAGTGGGATTTATCCCAGGGATGCAAGGATGGTACAATATCTGTATATCAATAAACGTGATACATCACATAAACAAATTGAGAGATAAAAATCACATAGTCTTATCAATTGATGTAGAAAAAGCATTTGACAAAATTCAACACCCTTTTTCAAATATATTTTATTGATTTTTTTTAATATATATATTTTTTTATTGATTTTTTACAGAGAGGAGGAGAGAGGGATAGAGAGTTCAAAACATCGATGAGAGAGCTGCCTCTTGCACAGCCCCACTGGGGATGTGCCCGCAACCAAGGTATGTGCCCTTGACTGGAATCAAACCCGGGACCCTTCAGTCCGCAGGCCAATGCTCTATCCACTGAGCCAAACCGGTTTTGGCCCAACACCCTTTCTTGATAAAAACTCTCAGCAAGGTAGGAATAGAAGGATCATACCTCAACATAATAAAAGCCATATATGACAAACCCACAGCCAACATCATACTCAATGGACAAAACCTAAAACCATTTCCCCTAAGAACAGGAACAAGACAAGGATGCCCACTCTCACCACTTGTGTTTGACATAGAACTGGAAGTACTAGCCACTGCAATCAGACAAGAAGAAGAAATAAGAGGCATCCAAATTGGAAAAGAAGACGTAAAACTGTCCTTATTCGCAGATGACATGATACTGTACATAGAAAACCCTAAAGACTCCATAAAAAATTATTAGATTTAATAAATAATTTCAGCAATGTAGCAGGATACAAAATGAATGCCAAGAAACCTATGGCATTTCTTTACACCAATAGTGAACTTATAGAAAGAGAGACTAAAAAAGCAATCTCATTTACCATCATACCAAAAAAATTAAGATACCTAGGAATAAACTTAACTGAGAAATAAAAGACCTATATGCAAAAAAACTACAGGACACTGAAAAAAGAGATAGAGGAAAACATAAACAGATGGAAGAACATACCATGTTCATGGATTGGTAGAATCAACATCATCAAAATGTCCATACTACCCAAAGCAATCTATAGATTCAATGCAATCCCCATTGAAATACCAAAGACATATTTCACAGACCTAGGATGAACATTCCAAAAATTCAAATGGAATAAAAAGAGACCCTGAATAGCTGCAGCAATCCTAAGAAAGAAGAACAAGTAGGTGGGATCTCAATACAAGATATCAAGCTGTATTACAAAGTCACTGTTCTTAAAACAGCCTGTTACTGTCACAAGAACAGATATATAGATCAATGGAATAAAATAGAGAACCCAGAAATTGACCTAAACCACTATGCCCAATTAATATTCGACAAAGGAGGCAAGAGCATACAATGGAGTCAAGACAGTCTCTTCAATAAATGGTGTTGGGAAAATTGGACAGATACACGCAAAAAAATGGAACTAGACCACCAACTTACATCATACAAAAAATAAACTCAAAAGGACTTAAACATAAGACGGGAAACCATAAAAATACAAGAGCAGTGGTCAGCAAACTCATTAGTCAACAGAGCCAAATATCAACAGTACAATGATTGAAATTTCTTTTGAGAGCCAAACTTTTTAAACTTAAACTTCTTCAAAATAGATTCGCCCAGGCTGTGGTATTTTGTGGAAGAGCCACACTCAGGGGGCCAAAGAGCCGCATGTGGCTTGTGAGCCACAGTTTTCCGACCACTGTACTAGAGGAATCCACAGGCAGAGAAATCTCAGACATACACCAAAGCAATTTCTTTACTGATACTGCTCTAGGACAATGGAAACTAAAGAGAAAATAAACAAATGGGACTACATCAAGATAAAAAGCTTTTGCACAGCAAAGGAAACCACCAACAAAACAACAAGAAAGCCCACAGCATGGGAGAAGTATTTGCCAATGTTATCAATGATAAGGGTTTAATCTCCAACATTTACAGGGAACTCATACAACTTAACAAAAGGAAGATAAACAAACCAATAAAAAAATGGGCAACCAAGATGGCGGCATAGGGTAGACACCTGAATGCAGCCTAACACAACAAATTTGAATTTAGAACTGGAAAATGGGAAACATTTCCCTGAAGTGCCGGATGGCTGGCTGAGAGGAGGCTCTACCATCTGGGAAGGAGAGAGAAGGCTCGCTGAACCTCAGGAATTGTGGAGGTACGGAGAACTATGCATGCGAAAAAGCAGCCGCCCGACATCGCTGCTGGCTTACTCTCTGCACGTGGAGAGGGCGGACAGCTAATGTGTAGCTAGCTTTCTTGTTCGGGAGGAAAACAGAACCACCCTAAAGCTAGACAGCCCCAGACAGGGAGAGGCCAGACTGTCAGGCAGTGGGCAGAGAACTCTTGGAGGTGTGTGAAGCCAGTGGCCATTACTGCGGGACTTAGAAACCAGACCCTTGTAGGGAGGAGCTGAATAAAACTTGTCTGCACCACCCTGAGACTCCGCCCCATCCAAGCGGAGCATGTAAGCCCTTCCAGTGGCTAGCTTTCTTGTTCACCACAAATAGGACTCTTTTAGGGAGAAACAGACAGGAATCCAAAGCTTCTCTGCGCCTATACCAAAGAAGTGCGTGTGCCTGCAACCAATCTTGCAGGATTCACTAAAGCTTGGCTGTGACACCACCAGCCTCCACCCCATCCAAGTGAAATACAGAAACCCTCCTAGCTGAGACACTTCTGATCCTCATAGCCAATTGGCTTGGAGATCATCGCTTCCCAGTGATACCAACAACAAGCAAGGCTTAACAACAAAACAAGACTGCACACACAGCCCACAAAGGGCTACACCAAGATTGTCCACCTCAGGTAACTCGGAGGCTGACCCACTGAACCATATTAGACACCTTAGCACACAAAGCCACCCTACCAACTCAGGGAAGCTGTGAAAATGCCAAGACAAGGAAACAGATCACAAACAAAAGAAATGGAAGAAAAGAAGTGACTGGATATAGAGTTCAAAATCACGCTTAAAGGTTTTTCAAGAAATTCCTAGAAAAGACCGATCAGCCGGCACCGGTTTGGCTCAGTGGATAGAGCGTCGTCGGCCTGTGAACTGAAGGGTCCCGGGTTTGATTCCGGTCAAGGGCATGTACTTGGTTGCGGGCACATCCGCAGTGGGGGGTGTGCAGGAGGCAGCTGGTCGATGATTCTCTCTCATCGACGTTTCTAACTCTCTATCCCTCTCTCTTCCTCTCTGTGAAAAATCAATAAAATATATTTTAAAAAAGGGAAAAAAAAAGAAAAGACTAGAAATAAAGAATACAATGTCTGAAAAAAAATATTATACAGAGTCCTAAAAACAGAATAGAAGATCGCAAGAATCAAGTCAAAGATTTGGAACACAAAGAGCCAGAGGATACTCCTCCACAGAAGCAAGAAGATAAGAGAATCCAGAAAGTTGAAGATAGTGTAAGAAACCTCTGGGACAATTTCAAGCGAACCAACATCAGAATTATGGGGATCCCAGAAGAAGAGAGAGAGCAAAATACCGAAAACATACTAGAAGAAATAGTGACAGAAAACTTCCCCCACCTGGTGAAGAATTAGACTTACAAGTCCAGGAAGCGCACAGAACCCCAAACAAAAGGAATCCAAAGAGGACCACACTAAGACACATCATAATTAAAATTCCAAGAGCAAAAGACAAAGACAGAATATTAAAAGCAGCAAGAGAAAAGCAGGTAGTTACCTATAAAGGAGCACCCATATGTTTGTCAGCTGATTTCTCAACAGAAACCATGCAGGCAGATGGGAATGGCAAGAAATATTCAAGGTGATGAATAGCAAGAACCTACAGCCAAAAATAATCTACCCATTAAAGCTAGCACTCAGAATCGAAGACCAGATAAAGAGCTTCACCAATAAAAAAAAAAAAGCTAAAGAAGTTCATCACTGCCGAACTAGAATTGTATGAATTGCTGAAAGGGGTTCTTTAGGAAGAGGAAGAAGATATAGATAAAAATTATGATCAACAAATACGTAACTATCAACAAGTGAAACTAAAAGCCAAGGGAATTAAAAAACCTGATGAACAATATTAACTGGTGAATATAATAGAATCAGAGGTATGGAAGGGGAGTGGACTGATGATTCTCTGGGAAAAGAGGAGTGAGGGGTGTGGGAAGAGCCTGAACAAAAACTGCGCACTTTTGGATGAGGACAATGGAGGGTGGGGAAAGGGCAGAGGGTGGAGTGGGAACCTGTTGGAGGGGAACAATGGAGGGGGAAAAAAATTGAGGAACATTTGTAATAATATGAACAATAAAGATTTATTTAAAAACACACACACACAAAAAAAAGAACTAGAGATCTAGTCCTTTGATGCTAAAAAAAAAAAATAGATAAGACATATGTCAAGTGCCAATATCTTCTGATATGCAAGAAGTGGGTGATAGGTGTTGGGGATAATATCCAAGGGTCTGAAATGTACTTGTTCCTCTTCATGTACACCATTCTCAAAACTTAAGATCCCTGAAGGTTAAGTCATTTCTGGTTGTGCCAATAACTTATTGTTATTAAACCTCACAGATCCTCAGTTATACAATCAATAAAATAGAAGATACAATTTATTAATTGGGATTATGGTGCCCACTAAATGAGGTACCAAATATACTCCTATACTCCTGGTTTCAAAAATGAATGTGTATAAGGATTATCTTTTTTAAAATGTATTTTTATTGTTGAAAGTATTACAGATGTTCTCATTTTTCCCTTTTGACCTTCTCTTCCCTGTTCCCCTCCCTTCCCCAGGCCTTCACCTTCCTACTCTCTGTGTGGATGGGATATGCATATAAATTCTTTGGTTAATCTCTTCCCATCACTTCCTCTGCAGATTCCCCTATTGAATCTAAACTTCTTGGGGTGGGTTTCACAAATCTGCTTTTTAAAATAGGCAATATACCAGACATCTGGTAGACAAAGACTATATTCCAACAAACACTGTCCTAAGCAATCAACAAAATTAAGAATCTTTCTTACTTGCCCTTTAAAAACTGTCTTGGTTAAAATGACATGGCTTAGTTATGAAAGCACAGGATGTTTATAAATGGCACAGGAGATTTATAAATGGCATGGGAAGCACAGGAGGTTTATAAATGGAATTGAAATTCTAAAATGAGCCTATACCGAAGCAATACAGGGCCAATACCTATTGCAGTGTCCTGATATACTTCCATTGTCGACCATAACTGGTGAGAAAATATCACACTGGTCACTGGTTTTAGGTAGTTAAATATCATCTGGAAGCAATATTCATTCTGCTTAATGAGAATGCTATATAACTTTAAAAACATTGTGCAACTACTTTCTTATTTACTGCTAATAACTGAAGTTATACATCATCAATCCTATTACAAAAAAAGTCAAAGGCTAAATGCGTATTTTCACCAGTTTTCTTTACAAAACCATCATCTATCCAGGCAGATAACTTCAAATTTTTCATATCCAGTTTCTTATTCTTACCTTTAAAATTTCTGGCTTTGTTTTTTCCATCACATGAGTCAGACTAAAAAGATGAAACAGAGCTTCCCGGACAAAGAATGCTCGTTCGCTATACCGCTTCAATGCTTCTGCAATCTGAGTTTCGTTGGCTTCTCCAGACACCTATGAACAGAGTCAGAAAATTAGCTTTTAGGTTCTTCTCAACCCTCTAACTTTCTCTATCAAAACATCATTTGAATAGATGGCATTCAGGATAGCTAAGTAAGGCTTAAAACAAATCAGAATAGTCATCCTAAGCAGGTGCACATATGTTAAAGAGAGATACAGATATATAGATAGAGATAGAGATATATGTTAGACTAGTAGCCCTGCACACAAATCCGTGCACCAGTAGGTCACTGCTGCCCTCCCGTAGCTCTCAGCCCGCTGCCCTGAACGCGGGTAGCTCCTCTCTATCCCCAATAGCTTGCTGCCCTGCCCCTTCCTGTAGCTCTCTGCCACCCGCTTGTGGTTCACTTCACCACCATCTGCAGATCCATGATGTTACATAGTCAGTTGTTACACCTCATGGTGTAATGGATAATTAGCATATTCCTCTCTTATTATATAGGATAGGCTCAGACCCTACTATAAGCCTGTGGGTAAAATTTCCTGCATTGCACCTAAAGTAATTCTCAATTTATTTAATACTATCAGTAAGGTCTTGCCTTGGGATTAGGCTTTTATCTACCTCTTAAGATAACTCTCCCTGTAATGTACAATGTTATGGCCATATGGGCTATTTTCCTGATCTCTCAAAAACTCAAGCTCTTTCCCGGGAAAAAAATCACCTATAATAATAACAGCATAATATGTTAATAAAACCAGATATCCTTGTGGACCACCTTCTGGACAAAGCTGGGGCTGCAAGAGAAGCCCGGGTCCTGGGGTGCCTGCCAGTGGCTGGAGGGAAGCCAGGGTCCCAGGTGCCAGAGGGAAGTTGGTGCCAGGAGCTGGGGAAAGGAAGGCCTATTCTTGTAAGAATTTAGTGCATCAGGCCTCTAGTTATCCTATCCAATAAAGACGGAATATGCTAATTGCCCATCACACCCTCACAAAGATAGCAGTGTCCACAGCCACTGAGGGAATATACTAATTGACTGCCATGTCCTCAAAGATGGCAGCGCCCACAGCCACAAGAAAGATGGTGGCAGCTGGTCCCCTACACCCTGCAGGAGTGGCAGGCGCGAGGCATGGCTGGGCCTGCCCCCAGGCAGGTCTGGCTGTTCTGCGTGCCTACCTCTGGAATCTCCCCATCCCTTCAGCCCCCCAGCTGCCCAGGGCAGGCCTGAGGTGCAGGCAAGCCTCAGATGGTGGCTGTGCAGTTGCCCAGGACCACACAAGGCTCAAGTAACCAGGGCCAGCCAAGGCTTGTGCTGCCAGCAGTGGCAACAGCAGAGCTGGGATGGGAGTGTCCCCTTCCTCTGATAACCAGCCTCCCACCCCTGAGGGCTCCCAGACTGTGAGAGGGGGCAGGCCAGGCTGAGGGACCTCCCCCACCCAGTGCATAAATTTTCATGCATCAGGCCTCTAGTTTATAATATCCTCTCATTGAAATCTTCCTCTCTTCTACTCAACCTTCCCAATTCACGTAAACAATACCTCTTTAGCAAGGCCTTCTGTGACCCACCAATCTAAGTCAGGTCTCTCTGAAACATCTTCTTCATAGCCATTATCATAACCATCCCTCTCCCAACTAGACTGACCTATTCACCACTGTATCCTAACAACCAGCATTATGTTTGCCTCACAGTAAAAACTCAGTAAGTAGCCAAAAGCCGGTTTGGCTCAGTGGTAGAGCGTCGGTCTGTGGACTGAAAGGTCCCGGGTTCGATTCCGGTCAGGGGCATGTACCTTGGTTGCAGGCACATCCCTAGTAGAGGGTGTGCAAGAGGCAGCTGGTCAATGTTACTCTCTCATCGACGTTTCTAGCTTTCTATCTCTCTCCCTTCTTCTCTGTAAAAAATCAATAAAATATATTTTTTTAAAAATAAAAAAAAAATTATAAAATAAAAATTACATTAAAAAAACCTCAGTAAGTATTCATCACACAAATGTATAAATTAATTTTCCCAGATTTATTAAGCTCTCATTCAGCATCAAGAAGTTCTGTTCAAAATTAAGACCATCTAGCCGAAACCAGTTTGGCTCAGCGATAGAGCGTCGGTCTGTGGACTGAAGGGTCCCAGGTTTGATTCCGGTCAAGAGCATGTACCTTGGTTGTGGGCACATCCCCAGTGGAGGTTGTGCAAGAGGCAGCTGATCGATGTATCTCTCTTATCGATGTTTCTAAGTCTCTATCCCTCTCTCTTCCGCTCTGTAAAAACTCAATAAAATATATTTTTTTAAAAATTAAGACCATCTAGGAATTTCCCATTTATAAAGGTTAATACACTTAAACTATGGTTCATGTAACATTGGGTAACCAAATGTATATAACAAGAAGTGGCTCTTTATAAAAGTAATCAACTAATAAGTGAAAGAGAAATTATTAGAATAGCACTATAATTTCCAATGAATTAATGGAACTGGGTATTAAGTTTCAACAACTGCTAACATCACAGAATAAATAACAACCAGACATTATATACTTCCTTAACGAAACAGCAAGACACCCTTAATGGTCCTGCCAAAGGTATCAAACATGAGTGTGATTAAGTTTCCCAATCTAACTACCAATCTGTATAAAATTCAAACACAGGGAAATATGCATCAAGAGTTAGAGTCAAGAAAATCCAGATTGAGGGAAATTCTACAAGTCAAAAAAGCTAGATTTAATAGATAAATCATAAGGAAAAGAAAGAAATGAAGAGAGAACAGGTAAATTGAAAGATACTCAAAAGACAAAATTTTGAAAAAATGGACAAGATTAAGAGATAAATAGTTGGGTAATAAAACTATATATAAAAAAAGCAAGGACATGATTATTATTATAAAGTCAGAATAGAGGTTCTTTTGTAGAGGAGGGAGTTGTAATCAGAATTTGACATATGGAAGAGCTTCAGGGTAGCTGACAAAGTTCTATTAACCAGAGTGATGGTCTCAAATGTGTTCACTTTATTTTTACTTACTCACTATGCTATACATTTGTTATTTACAGTCTTTGTATCCATCTTATTTTATAAGGTAAGGTTTAAAAACATGTAAAAAACCCTGTCATTCAGAGAGATATAATCTCATTAAATTGAAAGACAGGTATTTTTTGGCAGTAACATTATACAGGATGAAACAAAATAAATACTTAAAAAATATATTACTCAGAAACTAGGTTTTATATGAACAAATAGTATTTAGGTAGGAAATGCAGCTTTGAGGGGGGGAAAATCATGACTGACATTTCAACCATTGATATGATATGCTACAAGTTCTAATACAAACTATAGTACTGATGTGTGCCAAGTGACACAAGGGCACATACCTCGCATTTGTAAGATTGTAGAAATAAAAATGCAATTTCTTTACAAAATGTTTATAAAACTATCCTATATAATAAAGAGATGATATGCAAATTGACCCTCACACTATCGCACAAGATGGCCGCTCCCATGTGGTCAAAGATGGCCAGCAGGGGAGGGTAGTTGTGGGCGACCAGGACTGCAGGGGAGGGCAGTTGGGGGAGACCAGGCCTACAGGGAAGGCAGTTAGGGGCGGGTGACCAGGACTGCAGGGGAGGGCAGTTGGGGGAGACCAGGCCAACAGGGAAGGCAATTAGGGGCGGGGTGAGCAGGCCTGCAGGGGAGAGCAGTTAGGGGCAATCGAGTTGGCAGGGAAGCAGTGAGGCATCAATCAGGCTAGCAGGGGAGTGGTTAGGGGGTTATCAGGCTGGCAGGCAGGTGAGTGGTTGGGAATCAACAGTCCTGGATTGTGAGAGGGATATCTGACTGCTGGTTTAGGCCTGATCCCCGAGGGGTCTCAGATTGGAAAGGGTGCAGGCTGGGCTGCACCTCCCAGTGTAGGAATTTTGTGCACCAGACCTCTAGTTTATGTATAATATACATGCATACACATTGGTCATGACGATGTATTCACATAAATAAGCAGTAATTGAAGAATAAATTTTTCCAAGTGTTCACCTCTTTTTAATCACTCTGAACCTTTTCTTACATTCTCTTACATTTGGAAAGACACCAATTTGATCCCTGGCCCCAGTTGAACTGCCCTGGAGGCAGTCAATCAATGTGTCTCTTTCACATGGATGTTTTCTCTCTCCCCCTCTCTCCCCCTCCTTCTTCCCTCCCTTCCCTCTTTTCTGCTCTCTCTAAAAATCAGTAAAAAAAAAAAAAAAAAAAAAAAAAAAAAAAAAAAATCCTTGGGTGAGGATTTTAAAAAAGAAAGAAAAGAAATAGTCTGGAAAGCATTAACAAGTAAATCAGAATCACACACACAAAAAAAAGAGATTGTAAGGGGGAAATTATTTAACAATGATCTCAGTCAGACTTCATTTACCCACAATTGGTTGATTCCAAACAGCTTTATAATATCTTATATGAAATATAGCCTCAAGTTTGCATGGGACCACAGCTAGGTAGTTAACCCCAGAGTCTGGGAATGAAGTGACCCACAAATCTAAGAATCCTAGTTGTGGAGAAATAGAAGATTCAAGAAAGGGATTGTGACAAAAGAGCAAATTGAATGGGGAAATGGTGATGACAGAGTTGGAAATTCTATGGTAAGAAAGCCCTCTGGAAGAGACTGAACATAAACTGTCTACCTATGGATGAGGACAATGGGTGGTGTGGAAAGGGCAGAGGGTGGGGTGGAATTTGGTGGAGGGGGGAAGAAATGAGGAACCTTTGTAATAACATGAACAATAAAGACTGATTAAAAAGAAAGCCCTCTGTGCTGGGACTGGAAAGTGAGAGGAAAGAACTGAGATCCTCTAACAGAAACAATGACATGTAGTGGAAAGGATACATACATATTTTGGAATCAAACAGCCCAAGGATACAGGGGCAGGGTCTGATATTATCTAGTTGTGAGCCTTAATAAAACCATTCCATTTCTTCTCATCAAGAGATCAAAATAATATATAATAAAAGCATAATATGCTAATTAGACCAGATGTCCTTCTGGTCTAATTATCCAAGTCTAAGAATCCTAGTCTAAGAACCAACCTCCCAGAC